ATATTCATTCATGAAAAATGAATTTTGAACTTTATGCAAGACTTTCATAAACAATCAAAAAACTTCACTTGTGTTGGCTAAGAATGTCCAATATGACAAATCTATACAAGTCCAGAAATAACAAATTGCGAAATTGCGAACCCGCGAGGTTTGTACCTTGACAACTGCCTGGATGGTAGTACGAATAGTTTCCCTGCGTTTGACAGATTTCTCTCTCCAGAGCGCACATGTTATCAAACGTTCGACCATTGGAAGCACACACGAGATCTTGGTAAGATGGACACTGGGTAACGCACACACACTGAGCAACACTTGCTGACATGGCTTGACAAACACCAAAATATTCACAGGTCTTGTTGATGCATGGATCAAGATCTGAAATATAAATCCATGGAAATTGGGAAATTGTGGGGAGTATATAAGAAAATAGTACAGGAAACCTATAACTGAAAAGCGCGACAAAATCAAAAGGTTGAAACACCAAAAAAAAAAAAAAAAAAAGGAAAGGAAAGGAAAAGAATATACCTCCAAACACCATATAGTCCACCTCGATAGGATGATGTTTGTTGTTCAGCCCAACAAGGTCTTTAACACATGTTTTAAAGTGTGTTCGTGTAGTTTCCTGTAAGAAGCAAATCATTTGAAAGTTGACAAAAAACATAAGCTATCAGAACAATACTTCTAGCTCACCTCAACCCAGGCAGAAATGGAGTTGTCTTTTGGATGAATGGCATTGACATTACTGCTGTCATAGTGATGACTTGGAGCAACAACGATTGTCGGTGGAGCATAATACGGCTCGTGGAAACTCACAATCTGAAGACAAAAAAGGTATTTGTAGACAATATCATCAGCACTAGACCTACTCACACTCAGATTTTGATGACATGCTACAACTATTTTCTGGTTTACCTGGCAAAACGCATCATTGTCAGCCTCGCTTGGTACAAGAGTGTTTGGAAAGTCTACTCTGATAAAGTCATGATAATTCCATGTCTGGGGAACTTCAGTCATTGCCATCCAAGTCTACAACAGAATTAAAATCAAATATTTTAGAGATAACGAAACTCAAGTTCATCCGAAAGACTATAAGCGCTTTTCAGACCTGCGAAAAAATCGTCATTTTGATAATGAACTAATCAACAACAATAGACCATAGAGGTGTCCTGATATCAGTGAACCTATGAAAATCAAAGAAGACATAATGCACCCTTTAGAAGATGTTGTTTTAACGGAATAAGTTATAAATTCATTAATTCACTGCAATCGTACCACATCGATGTCTTTATGGCGTCCATCAAAGGTTCTTGCCTCTCTCATGCAAACAGTAAAATCGTTTGTGGTGATTCCTTCCACCCAAACTGTAGCTGCATCATGCTTGTTGTCCAACACATTGTGATGTGCAGTAACAAAGACATGAGGAACACTAGCAAAGGCCTGGCGAAAATAAAAGAAATGAAAGGATTTTTTGAATGAACAGTTGACTTTTGTGATTGTGTTTTGAAAGATGAAAAAAGGGGAAAATGAAAGCAGATGACAAAAAAATATTACCACAAACCAAAACAGATGAAAAACAAAGAACTGAAAAAAACATAATAGTTTATTTGTACTCTCTTGCAGTAAGGAACTTAATTAAAAAGTAATAATTACAGCAGAGATTCTATTATAAATGATAAAGTTAGTGCTATTTACAAATTATTAAAAACTAAATAAGGCACACATATATAATTTATATGGTTAAAAACAGTGTGGGAATGTAAAAAAAACCCTCTCCGTTCGCTTAGATCTGCATTGTGTCATAGAATGGTACAGGTAAAACTTTGGCAAGTTCCTCATTATATCAAACTTTAATTCGTTAAGTGCAGGTCTGGGTAGAAGATGATGTATGGGATGTTGTGGAGACTTCATTTGATTTATATACTAAGTGCATAAATAGTCTCTTGTAATTTCCAGTCGATCTAATTGAGCCAGTTGTAGAGCATTTGTATAATATAAATTTAGTAAATTATAAAGAAAATATTTAAAAAAGATAAAAATATAGCAAAATAAAAATAGAATTAATGGGATGTGAGGAAAATGCCAACGAAATCAAAGCACAACAAAAATACACAACAATAAAAGAAAACTAGAATAACAGAAAGGAAACAGGAGCAAATTTTGACATGAACACTCGAAAAGAAGAAAATGAAAAAATGATAGTTTACCTGGGAAAGACGAACTTGTTTGCATTCCGTTCCCGTCGTCCAGTCGTTCAACCTCACAGAGCCGTCCGTCACACCAGACTGGACGCCTTGGTAAGCAATCCAATTAATAGTCACATTACCACTTGATCCTACCCCATTCTCTACTAGACAGACTTTAAAACTACTTGTAGTGACAGACTCGACCCACGTGAACACTACGTCATGTACACGTGATGAGCTCGTGCCAAAACCAACTGACGTAAAGACTTTGACAGGATCAACTCCCGTGAAGGCTGTTGGGAAGGTGATAGTATCGCAGTAGTAATTATCAGGGTTTGTCTGGCCGATGCGAAGAGTTCCATGTTGAACTCCTAAAAAATACAAATGTAA